ATGAGTAAAATATCTTAAATATTCAATTACAAAAACCTAAAACAAATTAATATTCAATTGATATAATTTACAAGTTGATCTCTAATTATATCATGAACACGCTGCATCTATCTTGACGATCCGGGTAGATTTGACAAGGATGGCTCACCAAATCGGTATCTTCCTCATGAATATCTATACTTTCATCTTCAGCTTGTATGAACTGCTCATCAATAATTGAATTTCTCCTAATGAAGTTATGTATTACCATTGTTGCACAAACAATTTAAACTTGTGTTTTATATTTAAATTTGGGCATTTTTTGTATAATGGCAAACCTATTCTTCTACAATCCAAAAGTTCTTTCTATAGTGCATCTCAAACTTGAATGATAATAATTGAAGATCTCATTATTGTTTACAAATCCTACAACTCACCTAAAGTTTGGAAGGTGATAACGTTCACAACGATATGGACCAAGATACCCATTTAGCATTGGATAATCAGAATCAACCAAATAATATTTACCTATTAAATAAAAGGAAGTGTTGTAAATTTGACCAACATTAAATCAGTGCAATAATAATTATAGTGACTTCAATAAAATATACCTAGAGGTGGATGCAGAAAATGCATTGAAGGAGTTGATATGGCATTATCAAAAACTTAGGCATCATCAGCCGTACCTTACCATCCTGCAATGACAAAAGCAAAACATATGTCCCGATCACATATAGCCATGACATTCTGTATTGTATATCTCTTTCTTCTAATAAATTTAATTTGATTAGCAGTACTAACCATGCATGGCACATGAGTGCCATCAATTACTCCTATAGCATCCTTAAAGAATGGCCAATACTGTAGATCATTTTGAATTTTTGAATGACATTGTTGAAACAAAGGATCAAGTGGCTTTATATTTGCCTTGGAAAGGTTAAGGCAGGCAGCTAATACTTTATAAAAATTTCTATGGACAATCTCCCCTGAATGTAGAAATCATTCCTGTGTCATCCTATTACCAACTCTAGGTCCAACTGTATTTAAAAACATTCCAACCATTTCTTCAAGTCCTATTTTTTTAGATTTCTTTAGACCAAGATCAACTAGTATCGCTCATAGTTTCCTAAACAAATGTTTTTCCATTCGAAACGTTTCATAACAATAATCAGGATGACCTTGCAAAATCTCATTGACCCATATTTGCCCTGTTTGCCTGCTAGTTCTCCATGGCTCTTTACACACATATGGCATCACATATTCACTAACTAATTGACATATTTCTTCTTGCTCATTTATATCTTATTGTAACAAGGGAAGTAGTTGATGAGCCATATTTACATCCTAACCTTCATTCCAACCTAACATATATTCATTCGAATCTTCCATAATTTTTCAACCTGAGGTGAAATAGTATGTAAATATCATTTGCATATAATATAAAACATATAGTATATAAATATCATTCAACAACATAAAAATAAAGCATAAGATAACCATTAGATAAGAATTAAATATTCACTACAAACCAAGTATCATAAACATGGTAAACTACAAGTCAAAATAAAGCAACTATAACTCAAACACAAGTCAAGTCATCATAAGCCTATATAAAAATTCATCCAAATGTATTCTTTGAAATAAAATCTGGTAGATGGTAGACTTGGTGTTTCAACCAATTGACCAAGTGATCGGGATGATCTTTAAATTGCCAACAAGTATGTCGCATAGGCTTGTGCAGAACAAAATTGACACATCTCTAATGCAAATCTTTATCACTAAAAACTTCTGGGAGTTCATTTAGGTAAGCCACAACCTCAGAAACTCCTATGTCATTTGCCAAAATCTTGTTCATTGTCTCTGTTCTAGCTTTATTATCCTTAGCTATTTCACTCATCGCATTTGCTATTTTCATTAAGGCAGGGACTTTTTGCCTTTTCCACCCACCATTTCCCCCAACCTTCTTTCTCTTTCCTTGACTTCCATCATCGCTAGTTTCACTAGTATTTGTGGTAACATTCAAGCCCAACAAATCATCAGTGACCCCCATAGGTACTGCAGTGTTAAATAAATTTAGCTCCTCTTCACTATTACCGAATCCTTCTTGAAGGTCAATAATGGGGCAGTACACATCCTCATCATCATCATCCTCTATTTGGGTCTGGATAGCAGATAGTACAATTTCCCAGTTGCCAGGACATCCCTGAATATCAAGGTTAATTCCCTTGCAAACCTCAGCCTTTTATGTCTAAATTTTTCACAATGGGGATTTTCTTGCAATCATTCAAGTAACCAACAATTAAGATTCTCAAATTAAATTCTAATCTAAACAACACTTAATAACTAATCCATACCAAGATTTTTCGCTCCCACCACTCATCCAGAGCATTAATAGTATTCTTGACACTATCTCATTTTAAGCCAGTTTCATTAGAAAATAATTTGTATCATATGTTCCATTCTTTCTTTTTGTTGTCCAGTTCATTCTTTAGCTGCTTTTGCTTATACTTTTTTCCTGTTTTTGCCTCAAACCCATCAATTATTGCTTACCACCCATTTTTGTTGAAAGCTGTTCCTTTCCTTTATTTCTTGTACACTTGCTCCAAGCATTCCTTAATGAATATTTTTATCAAGGTTGAATTCCACACATCTTTTCCTTTGTCACTATTCATTGTTCTATAGACTAGCCAACTATCACAAACATACAAAATCAATAAATATCTTTGCATATATGTATCAATTTATCAGCTTTTTTTTCTCCAAAATATTTCATATGAAAACATGAAGAATCACCAAGAATTACCAAGCATATATGAAAATGAATCAATACCAAGCATTCAGTCATGAGATGCACACCTAGCATTCAGCTAAGAAAAAAAACTAGAATCACTAGGGATCATCAAAAACATAGAACAAGCAAAAAAAAATAGAATTGGCCGAAAATATAAATAGAAACCATCAGTTTCTCCTTATGCCAAGGATGATCAGAAACTTCCACCTAGGTGTAATTTAAAAAAAAAAAAAGAAACTTCCGCTAACTCGTCCATTAGAGACCAGAAAATGCAACAAACTAGAGAATGCTACATCGAAAAATGCAACAGACCAGAAATCAGCGAAAGACCAAAAAATGCCATAGAGAGAATGCAATAAACCAGACTAGAGAATGCATGCAACAAAAAAGGCAAAAGAGACGAAGGCTTGGGATGGACTAGAGATGCAAAAAGAGACCATTCACATTTATATATCACTCTATGATTACAACAGGGATTAACTCATTACTGGTAAATGACCAAGAGAAGTGCTGGGATCCGGGATTTGCAATAGAGACCATGAATGAAAAAGGCAACAAGGAAGGCAGTGAAAGAAGACAAAAGAAAAAGGTTACTTGGCAAGGACAAGCGACGAGGAGTAGATCTAGCAATTGGAAGTTTGTCCATGTCGGAGACCAATAGGTAATAGGGAGAAAGACCACTTCCAAGTAAGGACACACTGGACACAAGAAGAGATAATAGCAAGATGGGGATTGGCCGGAGGTTACTTGCTTCAACATGGTGGAGATCAGCTTGGACACTGCCACCTACATGAGCAACGAAGGTGGAGCTATAATATTGATCTTTAGTATCAGCTTGCGAGGCACGGGAGAAGAAAGCATAGTAGAATGAAAAGTAGAGCTCGTGCTCGTGGCTTGGATACATGAGAGGAGAGAGAAAGCACACAAATTTAAAAGCTAATTAATGCTTCCAATGGCCAAATCAACGCAATGCAAAAGAAAAGGCCAATGCTGATAGCTTTTGAATTAACACTCATTTAGCTCTAACTACGATTGAGATATTTTGTTAATCCGAACATCATTTTTTAACTTTTTTACTCCCTAACCTCAGTTTGACTCACTCTAATTGAGGTTAGGATGTAAACCAAATATGCACTTATTTAGTTTGAAAAAAATTTTATGGTGTTACACATTCTTCCCCCCATCATTCCTTCATAAAGATTTAGCTAATGATGCTAGCAAAGTTTAATTTTTATTTGTGTTAATTTTGATGTTGCTATTTGCTATTAGACTTGAATATTTAAGTTTTACATATTTTTCGTGGTGTATAGTGACTTAAATTTATTTTTTTAAACTTAATCTTATGTATAATAACTTCTTTTAGGGTTATAAATATTTTTTTAAGATTTTTAAATTGTAAAAATAGGGCCAAGACCTGCATGGCCGACCTTTTAGCTCAAAGGGCCAGGGTTGGACTTTGCAAAATGAAACCTTGAGATAATTGGACATATCAGGATTAACCCATTTAAACCCTAACCCTTTAAAGTTAGACCGATCCTAATTGACAATTCTAAAGATGTTAGGGTTAAATGATAAAAAAGATATTTTGTAAAATTAAGGTATCAAAACCTCATATAAAATTAATGGATTAAATATATATTTTACTCGGTACAATAGATAAATGGTTATACTAAATCTGTGAATCATAATTAATTATCTAAGAATTTACAATAAATTATAAAAGATTAACATAACATGCGCTAATTAACATTTTAGTTTAGATATAGGTTGTTAGTTTATCAAGTATTTTAGCCCTGGGCTAAAAAGATCAAGTATTTTAGCTCAAATTTCTCCTCAACTTGAATTGGGCTTCCTTTTTGTTAATGAAAAAGGCCCAACGAGCTCCATTAAACCCGCAACAGCCCACTCTCACGTTTTTAGGCATCAGGGCGTGCAAAAGCGAAATCCTTTTCTCTGAAGGATAACGTTAATGTCCGTTCAGTAATTGCAGAGACGGCTTCTTTACTCGTCTAGGGTTCCTCACTTCTTCAAAGAAGTATTCGTCTTTCGTTCCCATCAATCTGATATAAGTCTCATTTCGGTTCGGTTTGCAGGTAGTTATTTTGCCTTAATTTTCGTATCAGGGTCTGGATGAACAAATTACAAATTTATAGTCTTGCTCATGTTCACGACAATTTTCTGATGATTCTTTTGGGTCTTTCTTCGTCGCAGTCTTTCTCATTTACCTTTCATGTGAATGAATATGTATTCTTCCAGAGGAGGCAGCGGATACGGGCAGTCTTATGCGGGTCAATCCGCATATGGCCAGAATGTAAGTCTTTCGTTCTTTTGATGGGTTTGGTTAGAACTTTCTCTAATGACGTTATATTTATTTACCCATTCACAATCACAAGCCATCTGATAATCTCAAGGCTTTCTGATGGAATTGTCATATTTCAATGTTTTCAATTGTCTTAGCACGTATGGAAGAATGAGTATACCTCATATGAGGGTTCTTGGGAATTTCTTCCTCATGCGATGAGTTTATTCGTCATGGAAGAATTTTTTATGCTGTTTAATGTTCTCGTGTCTTTGTTGGTTTGTAAACAGGAAACATATTAGTAGCACTGTTCTGATAGAAATCTAATGTTTCAATGTTCAATTATTGCATCATTTTGAAAGAATTTGATGTACCTCCTGCGAGGAGTTTTTTAGACATTTTTTTCTGAATATAGAAGTCATTCTATTTTGTATTCTCGTGTATATTTGTTGTACAAACCAGATGCATATTTGTATCACCAAGTAAAGTGTAACCAAGATAATTTGTTGTCTTTTGATGCCATACAGTCAGCTTGATAATTCAAGGGTCTGATCCTAATTTTATTTTGGTATTTATATAGCTGGGTTCTGGTTATTCTGGTGGTACTGTTGGAGGACCTGATGTGGGTCAACATTCTGTGGCTTCTCGACATTCTGCTATATTAGGAACTTCTCAGGAAGTTGATGTTAGTGGTTATCGGGCTCATTCTTCCACTGCTGGCCAATATGGGGGGCAGTATAGTTCTGTTTATGGCTCAGCTGCTTTGAGCAGTGCACAGCAGGTCAGTGGGTCAACTCTTTTTTCAGTTAAAATTATTTAGCAGTAATTTGTATAGATCTTCTTCCATTTTTTGCATGTTTTAAGGAATAATTTTAAATTTTAATTTTAATTCAATTTTACCTGACAAAAACTACTGCATACATATTAAACAAATTAAAGAAAATTAATTTGATTGTTCCCTAGAGAAGGTTGATTGAATTAATAGTTATCAATTCCATTACCTCATTCGTTCTAGCCAAAAAAAAAAAATATTATCTCATTCAAAGTGTTGTGTGTTGGGATTGTTAAAACTGATTCTGTTTGAACTTTTGCTTTTGCTTTTTTTTTTTGGTCAGTTTTAGTAAAGTCCCTTTTGTTACTAATCTCTGATATAGTGACTCTCAGTTATAGATTATTTATATATGTCTTTGTTGGGCTTTATTTGAAGAATCATATAACTACTTTGTGCAGGTTCCTTCATTAAGTGCCAAGGGAGCAGGGCCATCGGCTTTGGAAGGTCGTGGGGGTTATGCTGTGAGTGTTTCTGATTCACCTAAGTTTGCTTCTGGTGACTATCTCTCATCTTCAAGCCATGGATATGGTCACAAATCAGATCAATTGTACGGAGATAAGGTTTTGGATTATTCTGGAATAGAGAGGCGACAATATGGTGAGCGGCAGAGTGCTTACTTGAGTAGAGACTTGCAGAATGATCCAGCTAGTCGATATGCTACTGATCCTGTAGGTTTTAGTCATCAACATCAGGTTAGTGCTTTTCCCAAAAAAAGATTCTTACAGCTTCTGTCTATTTGTGATCTTTTTGTCATTTTGCACTATTTCTTTTCTCAATGTCCAGCAACCAGAAATATATGATCGCCTTGATCAGACAACTTTGCTTCGACAAGAGCAATTGCTGAAAGCTCAGTCTCTGCAGTCTGCCTCACTTGACGGGAGTACCAGGTATTTATCTAATGATTGTGCATTGTAGTTTTGTTAAAGTGCAACAAAGTTCCAGCTGTGGTTACTTAAAAATGATATCATTGACTATTAACTAACCTAGAAGGCCTTTCCTTGGGTGCAAAGAGTGCCTAATTCTTTGTAAAGAAGCTTGGTTACCTTTTTATATTTCTGATGAAGCTGGGCAGATGCTGCTCAACAGTGACTAGCTATTTTAAATGGCAATAGTATTTCTCCCTTCACTGAGTAGCAACACCTTTCTGGCAGACAATCTGATTATCTTGCAGTAAGGGCTGCTGCTAGTCGTCATTCTACCCAAGATCTTCTGTCTTATGGAGGAAGGATAGATGCTGACCCCCGTGGTTCATCAATGCTAAGCGCTGCTTCATATGGTGGTCAACATGTGCCATCCATATTAGGGGCTGCTCCAAGGAGAAGTGTCGACGATCTCTTATATTCCCAAAGTGCTTCAAATCCTGGTTATGGAGTGAGCTTGCCACCTGGAAGGGACTATGCTAGTGGGAAAGGACTTCATGGGAGTGCTATGGAGTCAGATTATTCTGGAAGTGTGCTGTCACGTTCGGTGCACAAGGACCACAAGGATGATCGAGCTAGCTATCTTCGAGAATTTGAGCTCAGGGAAGAAGAGCGTCGTCGGGAGCGTTTGCGAGAGAGAGAGAGGGAAAGAGAAAGGGAGAAGGAACGAGAACGAGTTCGAGAACGTGAACGAGAAAGAGAGCGTGAAAGGGAGCGCATTTTGGAGCGGCGGGAGAAGGAGAGGGAGCGAGAACGCAAACGTGCACTTGAAATTAGGCGTGAACGAAGCCCTTTGAGGTCCTCAAAGGATCCTCGTGCTACTTCGAAAGGTCCTAGTGGTACTTCAAAAGATCCACGTGGTTCCTCTTTGACAAAGGAGGCTAGATCTTCACGTTGGGACTCCCCACATCATGATATTTCTCATAGGTGGATCTTGGTGATTTTCAATTTTTTGTTTGCGTCCTACTCTGGTTCTGAATATCTAGCTGCTGGTATATCTTGCAGCCTTTTTTTAACTAACTCGGTGTTCTGTTATGCTGAAGGCACCATTCACCTGTTAAGGAAAAAAGGAGAGAATATGTCTGCAAGGTAAAAGAAAATGGATCTTAGTTGCTTCATCATTAGCAGAATGTTACACTGCAAGGAACTAGATTCTTCTTGTGTTTACGGTGTGGAGATATGCAGTTGAGGGCTTGATAGAGTAGTCTTAGTCCTTCCTATGGCAGAACTACTTCCAGTTTACACTCTATCGTTTCTTGAACCCTCTTTTATCTGGGGATTCTCATTTTTCATCTAATTCTCTGATCATAAAGTATGTTGCTGTACACCTTATTTTCATCATCATCTATATCATATTGCTTGATTGACTGTGTATCTTCAAATCACCCCTTTCTTGGGATCATGATTTATCTTGTCGTTCCATGTCTCCCCACTTAATGATCACTTATTGGACTTTCCTATTGGCTGTTTCTTACCTCGTCCTTTATTCCTTGTATCGTCAGCCATCTTCTTAGCTTTCTGGAAGGAATGTTTTCCAGCTGAAGACTAGTTGAAATAAGCCATATAGGTCTGCAAGAATTATTGGCTTCTGATGCCAAATTGAAGTTTACCTCTCCAAGGGTTGTAAATTGATCTGTTGAACATAATACCTCTGGTTCTGTGGGTTTATGCAGTCTTACTTCAGAATTACGTTTGAGAGTTGTCCACCCTCCTGAAATGGGACTTGTTAATTCTTTTAATGTTTATTTAATCTTATTGAACAGGTTTACTCATCTAGTTTGGTAGATACAGAGAGGGACTACCTCTCATTAGATAAGCGATACCCACGACTCTTTGTCTCCCCTGAGTTTTCCAAGGTATAACTGTTCTATGATTTCCTTTTTGTGATCGATATCATTGGATGATGAGTTAACATTATATTGAAAATGCCACAGGCTGTTGTAAACTGGCCAAACAGTGATATTAAACTGTCCATCCATACTCCTGTGAGGTACCTTTTTTTGTTGGTCAGAGTCATGTCAATTTCTGCATTATCTTTGAGCTTCTATCTCTGTGTGTGTGTGTGTGTGTTTCTGCCTTACTGATGAGAGCTACGGGGAATCTTCTTTTTCTGTAATGTATTTCATTTTTATATTTTTAAACATATGATGTAATTTTGAATTTCTATTAATTACTAGTCTGATTCTTGATTCTGGGGATGAAAACCAAAACTTGGGATTTCTTTTTTTTATATGGAGGCATGGCCCAATAATTTATTCAAGAAGGATCATGATGGGCTAGAGAAGGAGAATTTGTTAACTTCTAGTTATTTGTGAACACTCCCTTCGACTCTGAAAGCAAGAAATTTGATATTATTTACTTTCAAACTAATGGGAGCATGCCATATGGCAATTGAAATATGTAAACTGGTATCTTCTTCATGCATAAATGTATATTATTTTATAGCAAAATTAGTTTCATTCTCTGTAGAATCCACTCTAAAGATGATAGTAAACAAGAGATATAAATATATATATATATATATATATGCATACAGTGAAATTTGAATGTAAATAAATAAGATATACTATTAAAATTTGAACAATCGCAAGATTTCTTTCTAATAGAAAAATCATGTTTGTTCGTCCTCCCCGTACCCTTTTTTGGTAAGTGGTGCAAAATCCACTTGATTGGTTCCAAGGTTTTCAGTTGCTCATCATTTCATTGCCTTTGTTTTTTTAACACCCCCTTGGTTTGTTGTCAAAAGAGGAATGGAAGTTATGAATAAATATATATTCCTCACCTTTTTGAGTGGAGCAGTTTTGAGCACGATTTTGTTGAAGAAGAATGTCCTGCTGAACCTAAAGATCCATCATCCATGAAGCTTTTCACAACATTGCCTACGGGTGTGGAACGAGATACAGTTTGGAATGCCAAAGTAGGTTTACTTTTGAACTTTGTATTCCACATTTTTTTCTTGAATATGATGCAGATCATGTGATCCATTGGAGTACATTTGTTTTGGCTGTTATGTTTCTTGTATGGCCTAATAAGTACTAACATTCCCTCTAGTCAGATTTATAGGATTAGGAAACCTTTTAGAAGTAATTTTTCGTCTAAAATATAGGATATCTTGTAATATTTAAACCACTTTTTTCAATTTTACTATTTCTATATTAACGTGAAGGTATTTAATGTAGTGTATTATTATTAAAAATTAAGGGTAAAAAAGGAAATAAATTTCCTTTTTTTTATGATATCAAGAAAAAAAAACTAATTTTCTTGAGATATGTGAAACAGTTGAAAGTATTTTACAATAAGGGCCAAGAGGGAGTATCTACTAACTCTTAATTTCAATTCATACTGAATGTACAAGTTTTAATTTTGATGTCTTGTGCATTTTTCATGAAAGCTTAATCTTGCACAAATAAAATTTTTAATATGATAGTAGTCAAACACAAGTGGCCTATGGCCAGATTCTTCATTTCTTTCTTTGAAGTGCAGAATGTAGAACACAATAAGAAGATAATAAAATATACAATTGCTAACCACTTTGGGTGTTACCAATAATAGGATCCTGGATATGTGAATGGTTATCATGCAAATCAATGTCAATTCTCCTTCAGTTCTGTAAAAAACTCAGCCCCCATTGTGTATTTTTTGGCAGGAAAAAGGGTGGATTTATAAATTATGGTTTCTTTCCTTGGTATACAAATCTTGTAGGTGCTTTAGAGGGGCTAGTTACCCATTAGTTTTTTATACGTTTGTCAGAAGCATACATTTTGTAAGAATACCGTTGTGCATCCACTACTTGACAACTAAGTTTTCTCCATGTCAGATAATTTTGTTGAGTGGACTTAGCAGGAGTGCTCTGGAGGATCTGTCATCTGATAAATGTTTTGATGATCGCATCCCTCATATTTGCAATATCCTTAGGTTTGCCGTCCTTAAGAAGGACCATTCTTTCATGGCAGTTGGTGGGCCATGGGAATCAGCAGATGGGGGTGATCCATCAGTTGATGATAAGTCATTGATCAGAACAGCCCTTAGGTTTGTACTTAAGACAGGATTATCAACTTACACTGGTCTTCTGGAGTGGCCTGACAGAAGTTTCTCTTATTTTGTAGGCATGCCAAAGATATTATTCAACTAGATTTGCAAAATTGTAAGCGATGGAATCGTTTCCTCGAGGTACTGGTCTGTTGTATTGTAAATTCTTTTGTTTGTTTGTTTTCTCATCTGTTTGTTGAGAACTGACATCTAAATCATTCATGTTCTAATTAGATTCTTGCTTTTCAAATTGTAACCCAATGGATCATTTTGCTGTTATATGTTGTGTGCATGATGCTTTTGTCTCTATCTTTTCAAGGAATATTTTGAGTAGATTATTAAATCAAAATATTTGTTCCCAACCCTGTCACAAAAGGATACCTGCGGACGTGATCATCAACTGAAGGACAAATGCCAAAGGGCTGATGTATTCAAATATAGAAATTTAGTGTCTGTCATTTCATATCTAAGAAAAAGTAGATCATTGATTACAAAATTCTTTTTGTGTCACTGACTTGTTATTACTGTGAATGACAGCTAATAAATGGAGGGCTGTGAGCTTCACGAGCAGCAATTAACCTTTGGCTTAATATGCTCATGTATTTTGGCTTCAAGTAAATTGGCTTGGAAACCCTAATCATTGTGGCTTTTACTTTGCAGATACACTATGATAGAGTAGGCAAAGATGGTTTGTTTAGCCACAGGGAGATCACTGTATTATTTGTTCCTGATTTGTCTGACTGCCTGCCTTCTCTGGATGCGTGGCATAACCAGTGGCTTGCTCATAAGAAGGTCGTTGCTGAGAGAGAGCATCAACTTTCTTTAAGACGAGAGGTCTGTTTCTGTTAACGAAGTTGCTATGCCCATGATTTCTTTTTGCGGGATTGATTTTTAATAGGGAATATTATTTCATGTTGCATTTCCTGTCTTAATAGTTATTCTATGTTATAACAGAAGTCAAGAGATAGCAAGGAACCATCCAAAGGTGAGTGGACAAATTCCTCATCTTGTGCATGTCATCCTACCTCTTTTTCCTTCTCATCCATCCATTTTCCCAACTGTGCTTACTTTTTATTTTTCTTCTTACATTTAATTTAGAAAAATCAGACAAGAAGAAAGAATCAGCAGCATCTGGACCGCCTGGTGATGTCAAAAAGGAGAAAAGCAGCAAAAATGTTAAGAAAGAAGCAACTAACAATAAACCTGTTCAAGATGATCAGCCTAACGTTGGGGAGGCTAAGAATGTTGAGAAAAAGGAGCAAGAAGAAACAGCCACTGCCAAGACAACTGGTGGTGTGAAGTCTGTAAAGAAGAAGGTCATAAAGAAGGTTGTAAAGCAGAAAGTTGCCAATAAGATTAATGATGCTGCCACCAAACAACTAGACAAAGTGAATGAGAAGGATAATGCTGACAAAAAGACTTCAGATGTTCCTGTTGTGGATAACAAATCTTCCAATGGTGGGGATAAGAGTTGTGATAATGCTTCTGCTAAATTGGCTACTACAGAGGGTATTTCAGTGGGGAAAGGAGATGCTGATGAGATGAAAGATAAGAAAGAAATAAATGGCTCTGAAGATAAACCCCAAGACAAGCCTGATCCCCAAGCTAATGCAGTGAATGATTCTTGTGTGAAAACCACAAAGAAGAAGAAAATCATCAAACGGGTACCTAAAAAGAAAGTGGTTGCTGGGGCATCCAAGTCAGAGGCTGCCGACTCTAAAGATGAAGGGAATACAGCGTCTGCTCAGGCACAAACTGACGCACAAAGTACTGCCAAGCAGACCAGTGATGCTAACAACTCTCTGATTGAGGCAAACAAACTGAAAAGACAGTTCCTAAAGTAAAGTCAAAGACTGCAACCCCTGGTAAGCAAGATAAGGTGGCTGATTCAAATAAATCGGAAACAAAGTCTGACTTGGATGACAAAAAGGTTGAAAAAGGGGCTGGTGAAAAAAGTGGGACTGGGATTGATAAGCAGAAAGCCTCTGAGGAGGATAATCATAATGGGAAGGGTAAATTGAAAGATGGTGATAAATTAAAAGAGGTGAAAGCAACGAAAGAGAGAGATGGGAAAGATGAATCTAAAAGCAAATCTGCTAAAGAAGTTAAAGATAAGAGGAAGTCTGATGAACCTCCTCGACACCCTGGATTCATTCTCCAGACTAAAGGATCAAAAGAATCCAAGGTATGATAATTATAGAAAAAATTCATCTTGTTCACTTGCTATCTGAAGTACTTGTCTAAGTATGTTATTTCTGGTACAGCTGCGTTCATTGTCACTTTCATTGGATTCTCTGTTGGATTATACTGACAAAGACATCGAAGAATCAACATTTGAGGTCTGTTTACATGCTATTATCTGCTTTTGAAATGCAAGTCATATCTTTTGCCTGCATGTGTGGCCATTTTTTCCCCTTAGCAAATGAGTACTCTCTGATTTCATGTTATTACTCAGACGTCTTTTATATAGCAGATTTATCTTTTTGTTGTTTTTGCAGGTTTCGTTATTTGCAGAATCAATGTATGAAATGCTTCAGTATCAAATGGGTTGTCGAATTTTGACCTTTCTTCAGGTAGGTTTGGTTAAAAATATGATTTGCTGATCTCTGTCTGATTTGATCATTCAGAGTCATCCTGAACTGCAAATTTTTTCACGTCTCCCCATGTGTAGAAACTGCGCATAAAATTTCTGATGAAAAGAAACCAGCGAAAGAGGCAGCGAGAAGATGACCATGAGAAGGAAAATGTAAAAAATTTGCCTGTAAAGCGACCAAAGGGTGATGATCTTTCTGAGAAAACTGAGCCCTCTGATGTTGACAAAAACACCACAGCAGCAGATGATGAGAAAAGTTCAAAAAATGATGACTCTGATGTTAAGGAAGATGACTTGAAGATGGATGATGTAGAGGAGGAGGAGGAGGAGGAGGAGGAGGAAGATCCAGAGGAGGATCCTGAAGAATATGAAGAAATAGAAAATGGAAGTCCGCAGCACAATTCATCTAATGAGGAAAATGCAGAGCAAAAGGCCAGCTCAAATGCTGAACCTGATGATAAAGAAGCAGATGAAACTTCTAAAGGGGAAGATAAGGTTAAAGAAGAGAGAGAAGAATCCAAGTCTGATGCTCATTCAATTGAAGAAAGGGAAGATAAAGTGGATAAAAGTAAGGCAGAAACCCCTGCTGATAAGGAGGCTGCTGTAGACAAAGAACTGTTGCAGGTCTTTCCCTGTGCATTTTATACTCTGGTTTTGTTTTACTCATGCAAGTTAGATTTTTTTTTTTTAAGTGTATTGACGCATTTCTTTCTAATTTTTAACAGGCTTTCAATTTTTTTGATCGGAATCGGATTGGATACATTAGGGTAAGCACTAGTCATCTTTTACTGTTTCTTAGTATCCAAGAAAAATGTTGAGAAGTATATGTTGCTTTTCAGGTTGAAGATATGAGACTGATTATCCACAACCTTGGGAAATTTCTATCTCACAGGGATGTCAAGGTGAATAATCTCTGAAATGTTCATGCTTTATTGCCTGAACAGTATGTTTTCTTTTTTGTGTTGTTGTTAGCATGTTATTGCCATGTTCATATTCGTCCAAGACCTGCCTTCTAATGTTTTACTTAAAATCAGGAACTTGTACAAAGTGCATTGTTGGAGAGCAACACTGGGAGAGACGATCGCATACTTTATAAGAAGCTGGTTCGAATGGTTGATATTTGAGATGTGGTGCCCCTTAGTCTCCAAATTTGTGGTCTTTGAATCATATAAACTTCCTCTCTTACTGGTTGGTTGGGGAGGGGATGCCTCCTGTAATCAGAATGTTGTACAGGATGTCAATTATGTGCAGAGGTGGTTCCTGTTTGTTTGTGACTTTCTGAGGGGAGAAACATGTCTTGACATATTATAAATTATTGAGACAAATCTCATATGCTGGACTATATTTTTGTATGCGTTATTTTTTGATAAAAAATAATTATTAAAATTTAACTGTTAGCCAAATTTGTCTGCATGTGAAATTTGTGTTTTGAATTTAGCTTTGATTGTTCGCTTGCAGCAGTGTGAGAAAATTTAACTTGGTAGGGAATTGGACTTGGTTTGTTGATCTTGTAGCAGACTTCCATGTGATATTGTTAATTTTCCCTAATTTATAGAATTTTGTTCTTAAAATTTGGAGCGGATAGTTCAGGTAGTATGGGTTTATTTAGGTTGGGTTCAGATTGAATGGACTTTAAATACCCATAATACATACATATATATATATACATTTTAAAGTTTAGTTTGGCCTTACACTAAGGTCTTATTCAAGTTGGTTGGAATATCTTAATTATTTAGAATTATTTTACTTTTTCATTTCTGTCATTTTAATTTTTTCCTTAAAAATTAAGATTTTTTACTAAAACGTTTTTCTAACCTTTGCTAATGTGAGCCCAATCATTGGAACGGAAAAGAATATTGTGTTTATGTTTTCCCCCTTAATATTTTCAAAAAAAAAAATTCAAAACAAATCATTATTGGAATATTAAAACTTCATTTGAAAATATGCAAAGTAAGAGGAGTTTGAGAGAGGGTTTGTTATTTAATATGAAAGGTAAGGAGTTTGAGAGAGGGTTTGTAATTGGAGGTGAATATTAAATGTTAAGTTTATTAATAATAAAAAGAATTAAAGAATTAGAGGCTAAGTATATTCATGTTTGGGTTTGACCTAATTTATTTTTGGTTTATTTAAGATGGCGTATTATGTTTGGCTTAAATTATCAATTTTATTAAAATTACTCAGATATTATATATGTTCACGTTAACCTATGCTTGGCATGCATACTAGAAATGATTCTCTTTTGGATGGACAAAGCTTGTCTCTTTCTGTTAGTTTTTGGGAGTACTAAAGTTTTAAAGAATTTTATTCCACTAAAGTCTTAACAAGAACAAATTTCACAAATGTGAAGCAAGTCTCATAAACAAGTCTTCAACACATCTTTTCATATAAGATTAAGTGAGGTATTTTTTTTTCCTAAATCATTTTTCAAAGAAGTAAAAATTCTCCTTTACTAATGGAGGAGAATTTTTTGCTCATTTGAAAAATAGTTTAGAAAAAAGATACTCCACTTATTAGTATATGATGGCTAGCACTCCTTTTTAACGAAGGGGACTTTTGCTTCTTTAAAAAATGATTTAGGAGGAAAAAAAGCCCCACTTAATTAGCACAAGGTGCTTATCGCTTCTCAGAGGAAGTACAAGGGTAAAAATACACTTTAACCTAAAAGTAAATATTAATAATTACTTTAGTTTAAGTAATAACTAAAATAATTTGTAGAGGAGAAGTAGTCATTGCTTATTAAAGTAGTTATTGATTTTTTTAGTGAATTAAAATTTTGCATAAGTTGTATTTGGTTGTTTCATTCTAGTCATTAATATAAGAAAAGTAGCCATTTCTTATAATAAAATAGTCACTAATATTTATTTATTTTTATTTTAAATTAGGGGTATTTTAGTTGTTTTACAAAAAATTATTAACATTTAAAAGGTTCCTAGAGACCTGAGAAGAATCATGACATTTTATAAAATTTCATTATTGTTTACATATTTTAGAGGGTTGAAGTGTATTTTCTTCATGTCCTTTTTTTTTTTTTTGAGGAGAACTAGACATCCTATACAAATAAGTTAGATATTTTTTCCTAAATCATTTTATAAAGGAGCAAAAATAAATAATTTAGAAACGCTCTTATGTTTTTGGATATCCATTTATAACTGTTTTTGTATAATACTAGTTCTCTTTAAATTGTTAAGTAATAATGTATATGTTTATAAAATTATCAATATGTTCACAGTTGATTTTTTTATATATTCATAAGTAATTTTTTAAAATTTAAAATTAAATTTTTTAAATTCGTGGGTGACTTTCTATTAAATATTTCAATAATTAAAAATATTTTAATTATAAATAAAGATCACAATACTTTTTCAACATTTTAATATTTCAAAATCTTCGATTAATGTCTTTACAAGTTCTCCAGCCATCATTTTTCCTCATATCCAATGGTCTTTGACTGGGTTTCCCTCTCGATTTTCTCAGGTAGGCCTTTTTTTCACCATTTTATCCTTACAAAAATTACATAATTCCATGTTTGCCATTGCTAGGTGCTAACAACTAGGGCTGCACAAATACTGGACTGGAACAGGTTGGATGCCAACCCGAAGTCTAGTCTGAATGGAGACCGGGCTAGAATTTTCAGTCCAAAGATTGGTCTAGTCTTGTTGGACCCGGAACCTGGACTGGGTTGGACTTGGTCCATCGGGTTACTGGACTAGTCCAGTTTATTGAATCCAACTCTCTCTAAAAAAAAAAAGCCCTTGTATCCCCTTCCCTATAATCACTTGCATTAATATCATAGGCTTTTTTTTATATCCCCTTTCTTTTTTTTATATTGTTTAATGTTTTTGCTATCTACGTATGGCATGAAAACACAATAGAACATATATGCTTTGCATATGTTTCTTTTTTCTAAGTCTTAAGCTAAAGAGGAATGAGAGCATGCATGAGAGTGACGCAAATACATAAACTCATTAATATATTCATATTCAGAATATATACATCTCACTATAGTCTACTTAGTCAACAATTCAACATTTCATTGTCAAGCTCTATAGTCTATCCAAAAAAATGACTATCCACATATTCTAGCCAACCACATGATATAGCTAGCTAACTAAAAAATAAGCATTAGCCTATCAAACTATCATCATGCTTCTTCACATAATAAAAAGTTAGTGAGATGTGCCCAAAATATATCCAAAATATCTGAAAGTTTAAAAGTTAACAAACATAAGCACCATACAACATCAAATGACGCTCACACAACCATCCTTCCAACATCAGTAATACTAGAAAGATCTGAAAAAATATATAAAATATAAATAGTCAATGGCATTACATCACAAATAAAAAAATACAACTAAAACATATAATAATTCATATAAAATATAAATAGTCAATATCATCATTGCAACACATACCAGTCTTCACCACACCCTCAGTCTCTTGAAAATTATCAAATTCTTGAAGCATGGATGCAAATTCAGAGATGGATTGTCCAGGAAACAGCCAATTTTGAGCACATATAAGTGCTTCAGTCATCTTTGGTGATAATGAACTCCTATAAGAGTCCACTACACGTCCTCCTGTGCTGAAGGCTGATTCAGAGGCCACTGTAGACACTGGAACAACTAAGACATCACGTGCCATCATAGAAAGAACCTTGTATTTGCTAGAATTGACTCTCCACCATGCTAATATATCAAAATCATCATCAACAGGGGTATCATCAGCAGAATTAGATGAAAGATATTTATCTAATTCTGATTGTAGGTTTAATGAGGTTTTTTCTTTTTGAGATGCTAACCACCTGCGACCTGGATCTATACCCCCTTGGCCTTCAAGCATTAAACATGTTGATGATCCTGGAAGTGTAGAAGAAGAAGCATTGCTTGGGGTACTAGTCCCTAGTCCTTTAGAATACTCATCAAACATACGGTACAAGACATCTTTGATCTTAATTTTCATGGCCATGCAAACTTCAAGATCAAGAAAAAGCTGCTCAAATATATGATTCACATAAGCAAGCTTGTACCGAGGATCCAAAATCACTGCTACAATGAGCAAAGGATTCATATTTTCTGTTTGACCCCAATATTTTTCATACTTGCTTCTCATACTTAGGGACATTTCCATAAGCAAAGGATCAACATTCACAATGTTCTCTTCCAACAACTCATGAATAAGAGCAATTTGATGGAAACAAGTGTTAGAAGTAACATTTAGTGAACTTGAAAACATCAAAGTTATGTCATAGAATACTTTCAAAAATTTGAGAAAGACACGTGCCTTGTTCCAATCACTAGCTTTAGGAGGGCCTTCACGCTTAGTGCCTCCAATGAATTGCCCCATATAATCTTCATCTTCATCTTCTAGGCGTTCAAAAGCCTTTTGAAACTTCAAAGTGGATTCCAACATCAAGTAAGTTGAATTCCACCGAGTATTGACATCAAGGCAAACAAGGCTAGTAGTGTCCAATTTCTCCAACTCAGCAACACTTTTAAACTTTTGGAGACGAGCAGGAGAAGAACGAACATATTTAATTGCATTGCGAATTGCATCAAAGCTGTTCTTCAACTCCTTCAACCCATCATTAACCACCAAGTTAAGAATATGTGCACAACATCTCAATTGAAGGTAATCACCCCCATAAACCATGCCCTTCCAATTCCTAAGCCTTCTTTTCAAATAAGACAAAGCCGTGTCATTAGATGATGCATTGTCCATTGTTATGGTAAACACCCTCTCAATTCCCCATTCTAATAAACACTTCTCAATTGTCTTTCCAATTGTGTCACCCCTATGATTCTCAATCATGCAGAAATTTAATATCCTCTTGTGCAACTTCCACTCAGGATCAATGAAATGACAAGTAAGGCATAAGTAATTAAAATTTTGAGTAGATGTCCAGCAATCAGTTGTCAAGCAAACACGATTTGCAGACTTCTTCAACACTTGCTTCAATATCTTGATTTCTCCAAGGTATAGTTGCCAACAATCTCTAGCAACTGTTGTTCGCGAAGGGATTCGAAATCTTGGTTCCAGCTCTTTCACAAAATTTCTAAACCCATACTTCTCAACTATCCTGAATGGCATCTCATCACAAATAATAAATTCAGCCAATGCCCTTCTACATGTTTTTGGTTGAAAACATGAGAGACTAAGTCCCCTCCTTGTCCACTTGACGTCACGTAGTTCAACATTGATTGCTTTGGTATTGTGGTAGCCTTATGTGGGTTTTTAGGACATTTTGAAAAGTGCCTTTTCAATGATGTTGTCCCATGCTTGTTTGGGTCACAAGCATAAGTTGCATGACAGTATTTGCAAGAAGCTCTAACCTCTCCATTTGTTTCTTCCAAAAGTAACTTCACAAAATGCTCCCAAACTTGTGATTGTTTACTCTTTTTCGCAGGCTCTTTTCTCTTTCTGCTCACATTCTCTGGACCACAATCTTGTGCAAGGTTAGAGGTAGGTAGGAGGAGTTGGTGGAGTTGGTCCAGTAAGAGGTGGCATTTCATTTTGACTAGAATCAATTAATTGTGATGGCAAGGGTTGGTCAATACTAGCAGATGCAGAAGTTTCGTCCACCATGTTTCTAACATGAAAAACAAGACACAATGTTAACTTATAAAATCACAAACACAAGTATAGAGTCAGACTTTTCTCAAAGAAGTATGACATATACAGAGGCACAGAGCCACTTCTCTGTCATGATCACCAACAAACCAAATCCAACAATTAATATTATAAGCACAAGTAATCTAATTGTTGCAGAAATTTATCCTCAAAATACTGATATAAGGTTCAAATATCAGAATAGCAACCTCACCGAAAATATAATAAATATCAGATTATATCAACATAAAATAAGGAATGATCCTCCAAAACCAAAGCCATCTATAGCAAGTTAGCAACAAAAGATCAGTCATCAGTCTATAGCAGCAATAGAAGCGTCTCTCGCCAAAAGGGTGGAAATGTGAACTTTTGAAAATGGCAACAATAGTACATCTCTCACCGTAGCAGCCTCAACGAAAAGCAAACAAAACCAGAAAGAGAGAAGTAACAGAACAGAAGCATGCGAAAATGGAATAGAAATCGTCGAAGAAGCCAGAAACAAAGCAAGAAAAACCAAAAACCAAGCAAGAAAAACCAGAATGCATGATGAATCAGAAGGTTGAGTGAAGAAAAACTAAAAACAGAGCAAGCAAAACCTGAAGAAAAACCATAAAATACGAATACCTTTCAGTTGTCGACGCTGTCACTGGAGAAGAAGGAGGAAAATGCACGATGAATCGAAAGGCTGAGTGAAGTAGTCAAGCGATCGTGATGTTCTTCTTCATCGGCATGCTTGAGGAGAAATAGAGCAACGGCCGACCAAGGAAAGGCAGAGAGATGAGTGAAACCAGAGAGCTACAGCTAGGGCAACGGGATAAATGACAAATGAGGGTACTGAGCTCAGAGCCTCAGACAGACACTCAGACTTCACAGACCGAATCCGAGGCATGCGTGTGAGGAACTGTAACTGAGGCATGAGACGTGAAGCTCAGCGAGTCAGTCTGTCAGCGTGAGATTTTTTCATTTTTTGTGTGTAAATAATATAATTATTTAATATTCAATATTAAAAAAATAACCTGGATCGGGCCAGACTAATTGGTCCAAAAGATCAGTCTCTAGTCTGGTCTAACCCGTATGTATAGTCTGACCCGTTTAGTCCAGTCTTTTATCCAGGTTAATTTTTTTGAGACCGGATCACACCGGGTCACACTGGTCAAACCAAACAGACCGGGTTTGAGATTTTTTTGCACAGCCCTGCTAACAACCCTAATATTCAAACTCTGGGTCTCGACATTATAAGCAGTCAAAGAGAAGTTGCGAACTGCGCCTGAGACGACGTCGGAGGTGACGGAGCTGCCGTCACTGGAGAGACCCGCTCTGACGGCGAGGACGAGCTTGGCGAAGGAGGCTACGAGCGGCAAGGTGAGTGACTCCTTTTCAATGCTCTTCTTCTCTGACTTCTTTTCACCGTGTTTCTGTTCGAAGACTCTTCTTGACGTGTGCTTGTTTGAGGGTCAATGAACACTATAATGTGATGAAGATGTTTTTTTAGTGGAGATATAGGCGTTAATATTAATGTTTTTTTCTGTGTCCGAGTGAAAAAGAGGTTTTCTCCCGGGGGGGGGGGGTTCTGTTGTGTCTTGGCCTTTTTTGGACTGGACTGGACTGAACAAAACAGAAACATGCTCTAACTAAATTCATTTCTTGATATAGGGTTTTCATTCGAGGTTCATTCCAAGTTGCCAGAAGCAAATCAGCGGCTATGGTGAGGGAATGCTCCCTTTTCTCTGGATATTTCTAATTGAATCTTCTGATCATGTATCATCTTTTAATGATTAATTTGGTTTTAGTATCCTCATCTCTTCCATTTTCATTTGATGTTTCTGAAGGAACATCCTCATTTCATTTTATTAGAGTATTTAAGTGGTTGGAAGTGTTTTTCATATGATCTACAGATTACAATACTTTGCTGAGTGATCTAGAGTTCAAGTAGGTTCTGATATTGAGGGCTGTCTTGAAAGGGGTCTTCTCAATCTACCTTGCTTATAAACTGGGAATATTTTATTTGTTTAATAGGCTCCCAAAAGAGGTGGTAAAGCTCCAGTTACAGCTGCTAAGAAGAAGCAGGTGAGTGTCTAAATTGATATGACTTCAGCTGAAATATCCATATCATTTTTGGGTATTTTTTAACTCGTGATATGATTTGGCTTCTTCCATTTTCCTCTGATAATTTGTTTGACTTCAGGACAAGGTGGTCAACCCACTATTTGAGAAGCGACCAAAGCAGTTTGGGATTGGAGGGGCATTGCCTCCTAAGAGAGACCTGACCCGATTTGTAAAGTGGCCCAAGACTGTTCAAATCCAGAGGAAAAAGAGAATCCTCACGCAAAGGTTGAAGGTCCCACCAGCTTTGAACCAGTTCACCAAAACACTAGATAAGAACCTTGGTATGAAAACTAACTGAACCCTGGGATTCGTGATTTTCTTATCCACAACACTCACTATTGCTCTTGTTTTCTTTTTCTGTACATGTTGTGAAGAGTGTGATTATGACTGGTTTATCTGAAGTGTATGCTTCACATTTATCATTTAAACTGTGATTTTCATTTTAATTGCATTAATTTTGAAATGAAAAATTAGTTTAATAATTGATAATTAAACGTACTGGCAATTTGAGTTCATAATGTTCATTCACCGTTGGTCTGAGCTGGAAACAGAACCTTCAGAAGTTGAGGTTGTATAATCTGCTAGCCCGAGTCTGATTGAAAATTACCTTGCTACTGATAGAAGACTTGGGCAGCATGTTCATAATATTTTGTTTCATGTTTGATTACATCTCTGTACACAGTTTTTTCCAGAATTGAGACCCTGAGAGTTGTAGTCCATGCATCTAAATTGGGGCTATTTCACTGAATTCTTGAGAATTACTAAATTGGTAGTTATTTTAGTTGTTAGTTTGTCTTAATTGTGTTTGCTTTCTTGGGCGTGTTTCATGTTCTAAGGGCCGTACTGATGATTTCCTTGTATTAATCTCATTTACAGCAACCAGCCTGTTAAAGATGCTCCTAAAGTACAGGCCTGAGGATAAAGCTGAAAAGAAAGAACGACTTTTGAAGAGAGCTCAGGCAGAGGCAGAAGGGAAACCTGCTGAAGCTAAGAAACCTATTGTTGTGAAATATGGTCTCAATCACGTTACATACCTTATTGAGCAGGTGTGCTTTCTTCTATGGATTTATGATAATGTCTGTATTTTCTATGACATCTGACCATTTTTTTTTTTTTTTGGGTCTTTCAGAATAAAGCTCAGCTGGTTGTGATTGCACATGATGTTGATCCAATTGAACTGGTTGTCTGGCTGCCAGCATTGTGCAGGAAGATGGAAATTCCCTACTGCATTATCAAGGGCAAAGCACGCTTGGGATCAGTAATAATCGCGCTTCAGAAAATATGTTTCAAGACATTTTGTCTAGTAGTGATTTATTCATGATTGGATCTAATTCGATTCATGCTGGCTTTGACAGATCGTCCATAAGAAAACTGCATCAGTCCTGTGCTTAACTACTGTCAAGAATGAAGACAAGTTAGAATTCTCTAAGATTCTAGAGGCTATCAAGGTGATTTTAAGGTTATTGTTATACTGTTTCCTTGCTGTCAATTTGCATGTCAAAATTAATTGGCCTTTTGTTTTTGTGCACTCCCTTTGCAGGCCAACTTCAATGACAAGTATGATGAATACAGGAAGAAGTGGGGTGGTGGTATTATGGGTTCTAAATCCCAAGCCAGAACTAAGGCCAAGGAAAGGCTTCTTGCCAAGGAAGCAGCTCAGAGAATGTCTTAAGCTTCATGTTTCTTGGTTTAGGAAAGTCAAAGTTATTTGTCTGCATTTTATTTTGATGCTTAGATTGTTTACACACGAGGTTTTCCTGTGTTATAGTAGTTTGTGAGCTAAAATTGAATGATGATTCCTTTGAACTTGAATATTGTATTAAAGTTTTTGGTTCAGAGCTATCCCATAAGCTCTATGCCATCTAGATTCTGTTATTCATTCTTGACTTGCTTTTTAGTCCCATTATCCAAGAGTGATTCAGGTGGCTTCATTCTCTCCTGGTTGGGCAGGTGTTACTTCTTCATCTTTTGAATGTGTTGTGTTTGGTATGATAAAATTGTGAACAAGAGGAATTGGGAGTAGATTTCTTTCCATATAATCAGATTTCCTTCCAGCAGATGTGGTAGAATCCTCTTCCATCTGCACCGTGGAATCTAGTGGCTTCCACAGCAACGAGTGTCTGAAGGATAATTTTTAGAAAAATGACAGAGATTTCAAAATGATCAAATTAATTTAAGTTAGGTTTTAAGTGTTAAATTTTAAAAATTTATAATTTAATTTTTCAATTTTGCAGCACAATTAGCAGCTATGTTATGGATTGATAATTTGTTTTTTAAATTTTAACATAATTAAAGAATAAAAAAATATTTTTTTGTTAAAATTTAAAATATAAGTTACAAATTCATTATAGTGGAATTGTAAAATTGAAAAATTAAGTTGTAAATTTTTAAAATATAACATTTGAGATTTAAATTGAATTAGTTAGTTTTATTGACACCTCATTGTCATTCTTTCATGATTTTTTAGGGAAAATGACAAATAAGTTCCATCAATTGGGCAAATAATCTTGGGGACTTATTGGTCATATTATTTTTACAAAATTATGCTTATGACCCTTCATAAAATAATAAAAAGCAAAATCGTTGAGACCTAAACTAAAACAGCCAATTATAGAGTTAAGTAGTGTTAGGAAATATAATTATTATTGTATGACTAAATAAATTGTTAATATAAGAAATGTATTATTACATAACTAAATTGACAATTATGCTTTCTATATTAACAATCTTAATTTAAGTATTAATGATTATGTTTTTTTTTATCATTTTGCTTAGGATCAAAAATGTAATTTTGCAAAAAATTATTAGATATAAATTACTAGGGATTTCAAAATAATATACCTATTTTGATGAAATTTATTTGTCATTCTTCCATTTTTCTCCCTTAATTTCTTTGTTACATTCAAACTTGACTCATACAGATTTGAACATCTTTCTTGAAAAAGTTTTTGAAAGCATAGTAGCATTGATTTTCCTAATAAATTTAAAATTTCATCATCCCTAGAATATTAGTAAACTACTACAATCAACTTGACAATGAAATTCAAAATAACCTAAAACTTGGGTGTCAATTAAATATCTTAAATTTGGTGAAGGGAAAAATTGAGGAAAATTATAAGTGAAGCTCTACAACAATTAAAAGTTGAAAGAACTATATTCTTGAAAGTTTACTAAAAACAAGACATGCTTTTAAACTTAAAAAGCACGTTCAGAGGTATTTATATATCACCTAATAATAAGATCCTCACAATATAACAAGATTGAAACCCACCACCTTATATATTATAAATCAAATCCTTATCAATTAGGCCAATTTTTGTTAGTTTTGCTACTCATTCATTTGTTCCAACACAAAGCTCAAGGAGAGTCCTCATGGCCTGCTTTTTCACCACCTTCCCATACACTTCTCTTGCTAGCTTCAAAGCTTTCTCCATCTCCACAAGTCCACAACCTCCATTTTTCTTCAACTCTTCCATCTGAATCTTAAGCAGTCTATCATCTCCTCCTATAACATCTATGATGCTATGAACCACAGCTTCCATGGCTGGAATTCTCCTTCCCCACCTCTTCATGAACCTATCAGCCCTGTAAACCTCAGAATATGCAGACCAAAATGATGCCCTCAGATATGCCTTCTCTTTCCCTCTCACTTTCCATCTCTTCATTTCTTCTTCTAATTTGTACACCGCACTTCCCACATCCATCCCTCTTTCAAGACCAATCTCAATCTCTCTGATCTCTTGTTTGCACACGATTTCTGACTCAAACTTGCATCTCCTGCATCTACAATGGATTCCCCATGTCACTGACATCTCTTTGCGCTTGTGCAATGAAGAAAGTGGGTCCAAATAGGCGAAAGTAATCTCCTCACCTGCTTTGATATCTTTAGAAGCATGAACTATCAGATAATCTCCTACATGCAACCTCCTTGAATTGGGGCAGCATGAATGGTTGATGAAGGAAGGTAGTAACCATAGCCCAACACCATAGTAATCATTGTTCTTCTTCCCCAATACATTGGCTGAAACTGCATCTTCAGTTAGAGAATTCACATCCAAAATGGCTAGTAACTTGCCCATATCAATCTTCTCATTCTCACTGGGTTGCTTGTTCTTGTTCTTGTTCGCTCCTGTTCCTGGTTTAAAGAGAGTAATATCAGGAACCTCAAGTGAATCTTCATCTTCCCCACTTGACAATTTGCTGATCAAATTGCTTGTTCTGTGACATTTCCTAACAAAGTCTGAAACCTGATCAATGAAATTCTTCCACATTACTAATTGAGCTTCCTCACTCAAATCTTTCCCACCCAATACACTCCTTTCCATCGCTACTGCCTTTGTGACCAAAACCAAAGCCCCTGCATCAATATTCTTAGTTGCAAACAACCCACGTCCACTGATCTCAGATTTCATGATCTCCACAGAACCAATGTATTCTGCAAGTTCTGGAGACTTTCCTCGAAACCCATTTGAAACCCAATCGGAAAGGTCCAGACTTCCGGTCCTGGAGAGGAAGTCGAGTCTTTTACATTTCTCGACACACCCATTTAGGTTTTCAGAGTTCCCATTAGCCTGGGGATCAAGACGAGCGACTCTGAAGAAATCTAAAGCCGCGGAATACGTATTGAGATTGAGCAGTATCTTACCTTTGCAGACAAGAGTCTTCAAATGGGTGCCATCGATTTCCAAAGCTGAATCACAATCTTCCAAAGCAGAATGAAACTCTTTCAATCTTGATCTTGCTTCGGCTCTGTTTGAAAGGGCTAAGCAGAGGGATTTTCGCAGCCTTTGAATCTGATCTGAGTTGGACAGGTTTTGGGTCTGAAAGATTTGGTTTTGGCATAGAGATATGAAGTTTGAGTAGGCTTCGATCGACTCCTTCCATTCTTCTCTTAGAAGAAGCTCTGTTGCTCTAGATCTGAGTTGTTGCATACACTCTTCTTCGGCCATCGCTATCTGCGGCTTTGTCTGTTCCATGATCATCTTTGCAGATGCAGAGGCAAATAGTTGAAGTTTCGGATTTGAATTTTGAATGCTAAATCGGTAACGTTCACATGATTAGTTTATTATGACTAATTATTTATTTATTATTTTTTCGGTTGTATAAGTAGGAATATTATGAAATATGTAACGGCTGTCTTTCAAAAATAAAATAAAATAAAAGAAGTAGGAAGATGCAACGGTAATCGTGGTAAGTTTGAAACATTTCGGTTTCTGCCAAAAGGGGGAACCGGCCGGGGGGGGGGGGGGATATTTCGGCAATCCCCTCTTCCCTATAATATTCGAGTATACAAATAATTAAAATACTATTTATACTTTATATTTTAGGAATTTTAAATATTACAAATTACTTAACAAAAATAAATTAAAATCATAAGCAGAAAATATTTTAAAATTTAATTAATTTATTGGTTACTGTTCAACCTCCTGTGTTTTGACGAAACGATCAAATATCGCAAGATAGCAATTTAAATTGTTTTGCATCAAATATGAAATTTAAAAAATAAATGAAGTAACAAATACTAAAGGGTATTTGATTCAATTGATCAAAGGAGTCGAATCAGCTTATTTTAAAATTTTAATTTCAAATCTTGATATATATAATCGCATTAAATAAATATATTAAAGGCATCTCTAGTAATATCTTGAAATTGGGCTTAGGAGCCTAAGAGTATGTTTAAATTTAGCAAGCCCTTATGCCCAAGTAATCAAGAGTTATAAAGATGCCCTAAAAAAATGACAAGATGGTTCTTAGGAACCAAATCATAATTCCAAAAGCTTCTTGGGCAAAACTGTAATATTTTCATAGATTTCAAGGAAATATTTAAAATTGAAAAATGAGTAAGTTAAAGTCCAAACATGTTCAAGATAGGCAAAAAAGAATATATAAGGCCTAAGAGAGTAATAGATATATCTAAGATTACTCTTGAAGAATAATTAGTAAAATTGCCAAATTAAACTGATGTAGTGTTATTTGACAATTTTATCCTTATATCCTAAGTCTTTTAAAAACAGATTACAATTAAATCCTAAGGATCAAAGTAGCTTTAAAAAGACTTAATGAGATCGTAATTAGATCTTGAGATTATAGTTAAATCACATGATCGCAGTAGACTTGATAGAAAGTTACTGACCCACAAAGTATATGACAATTTTCTAAGAAAACAATAGCCTGGGATAAGTTTAGAATACAAGGACCTCTTAAGTTTGGCTAACTGTTATAAAGAGAGTATTCTTAATTTTTTTTTTTTTTGATATCTCAACTACTATCAAAGCTAAGAAAGGAAAGAGACCAAAAAAAAATTAAGAGCAAAAATCTATCCAGGATAAGGACTAAATAATATGAGATCACGAGAAAGTTTTGTATTAAAAGGCAAGGGGTACTTAGAAGGCAAAAAGGCAAAGGGTACTTAATTGTAGATAAATACTATGAGATCATGAGAAATTTTCCAAAGTTTAAAAATAAAAATAAACAAGAGTAAACATTAATCCAAAAATATCAAGCTCAACTGAGGTCAGATTGTAATTTCTGAAAGTTGTGTCTTAAAGTATAATTACAAAAAAATTACCAAAACTTAGGAAAAATTAAAGTAAATTAGTATATGAAAGGCAGAAATATTTGGAGTAGTTATACAAATTTTATTGGAATAGAATTTCTCATATAATTAATTATGAAATGTATTTTCTATTAAATTAGAAAAATGCCAAGCCCTTAAGGGTCGAGCCCACAAGAGCCAGACCCGCCTATATTCCTAGTTCTATTAACAAAGTAGGAAAATGGGAAAACGATAGTTAGGTTTCAAAAGAATTATAACAACAGTTAGATCCTTGATAATATTTTTTTACAAAATGAATTATAAATATCAATTCAAACAATTATAAATAAAAATTTGTTACAATCTAAAAGTTATATTTAATATTTAAATACTTATTTGTATTTAAAACTTTTGGATTTGTAATAATTTGAATCAATATTTTTAACTTGTTTTTGAATAAAAAAACTGTCAGAAATTTAACTGGTATTAATTCAATGTTTTGAGACCTAACTATCATTCTCCCTAAAAAAAATCAACAAACAAGCAAATGAAAATCAAACAAGAAAGCAATAACAATCAGTCAACACTAAAAAGGACTGAAGGGGGGCTTATTATCAACTGAGAGGGATCGTTTGGAAAACCAACATTCCACATCCCAAAATAACTTTTTATCTTTTGGGATGTGAAATAGTGTTTGGAGGAATTTTTTACGGACAAAAGCACTTTGAGAAAGTACATTTGGAGATGGGTTGAATGTGAATTTTCCAAAGCTACATCCGGTTGCTTGTCAAACATGAATGTGGATCATCTAATTTTGTGTGCTTATATTTGACCATGATACCCTCGATTCTAGTGTTCTATCACTCATCTCTTCTGATTGAGAGCTAACTCATCTCTCTCATCTCATTTGTTTCTCCATCGTCTCTCGTCCTTGTCTCCTCCATTGTCTGGTCATGGCAGGAACGACGACCAGAACTAGCTTTCCCTGAATCAGGTTTATGGTTTGGTGATACAGCGCAAACCACTTGTTCTGCATGTATCATTTTTTCCTCCAGGGTAGAACATAGAGTCCTTTGCTTTGAAAGCATCTCTTTGCAGCATTGCACATGGCTTGAATGATGCATTTTAGCTCCTCCGTTATGCTGACGAAGATGCTAGGAAGAGAGGAACGAATCTCCCTTCATGCAAGATGATCTCCCTTCATCTACATTCTCTTACTTTTCTTTTTTTTTTTTTCCTTCATTTTTCAATTCTCCATTCCCTTCCTCTGAAAAGTCAAAAATTTGATTTAAAATAAAAATAAAAAAATTACCAAATTGGCCCTCCAATTTCTTGAAAATACAAAGTAACTAAAGCTAAATTAATTTAATTGAACTAACTAAAGTCTTAAAAATGAGAATAAAAATTACCCAAGTAATAAAATGTGCCAAAAATTGAAATTCGAATTAAAAACATTTAATTTCAATAAAATGTGCCAAAATTACAAATTATCATAAATTAATATCCTTTTTCGTCATGGCATGTTCAAAATACATTTCAAAAGCACAAATTTTTATTAATCCAAACAATTTTTAATTTTTCAAACTGATTTTTAAAAAAATATATCTAAACACAAATTTCATTATAACAGTTAACTTTTATCAAACTGACTTTTATCAAAAAAAATTTTATTAAATTGACTTTTAATAAACTGAAAATCAAATATAATAAATAGAGCTTGCTGCATCCTTAGCTAGCAAACTAAGCGAAGGAAGTGACAATGTTTCCTCCCATCCAATCGAACTCATCCTTAAAAACAAAAGTTGCATTGAAGTCAAATATAAAAAGAGCTATGATAACCCAAATTAGAGGAAATTTGATTGCAATACTATAAAAAAGATTTATTTATCTATATGCTATACTTTTTAAAAAGATATTTTTTCAAATATTTTAAAAAATACTATAAATTTAGATTTTAGTTTCATATAACCCAAGTTTTAAAAAAAAAAATTAATGAGAGTACAGAACTCAGTTTCAATCACACCAAGTTCTGTACTTTTATTATTAAAATAGAAAAGAAAAGAAAGTATTGGTGTGATAGCTGCACGTCTTCCCATGTCCTTTCCTTCTTGTCTCCCTTGCTCCTCCGTCCCTTGTGTATGTGGGTATAGGATAATGTTCTCCTTAGTCCTTCCTTCATGTGTGCTACAAATTATAAAATATTATCATAATATTATAATTATAATTATTTAATAGTAATATATTAATCTCATAATTATAATTATAATTATATAAAAAGAACTGGAATGGTATCTTCTTTATAGCATGTTTAAGTTAATAAAAATTTGGATTGTTTCAGATGTCTTATTTAGATATACAAAAATTTAACTTTGAACTCCAAACATCTCATTGTCATACAAAAATATGACAATGAAATGTTTGAAACGATTAAAATTTCAATGGACTATGATAAAAAAATTTTAAAATTATAAAAAAATGTAATAAGAAATGAATAAATTTGAATTTGGAACTTAAATTTTTATATATCCAAATAAGAAATCTAGTGCAATCCAAATTCTTATAAAAAAATACCATCTTTCTAATCATTTTATATAATTATAATTGTGAAAGTAATATATTACTATTAAATAATTATAAATATAAAATTATAATAGTAATTTGCAGCACACATGAAGAAAGGACGAGAGAGAGAGAACAATTACCTCATACCCAAGCACACAAGGAAAAGAGGGGCAAGGGAGAGAAAAAGGAATAAAAAAACATTTTCTTCTCTTTTTTTTTATATTAAAAGTATAGAACTTGACGTGATTGAAATTGAGTTCTGTACTTTCATTATTAAAAAAAATTTTAAAACTCAAGTTGAATAAGATCAAAATTTAAATGTATAATATTTGAGGAAATATTTTTAAAAACATAGCATTTAGATAAATAAATTTTTTTTTTAGTCTTGCAGTCAAATTGCTCAAATTAGATTTACCTTTTTGAATACAAGAGACCAAACCATGGCAGTCTCATTCAAAAAGAATGTTATCACTGCCCAAATCGTAAGCCAGCATAAGAACACATTTGAGCGCTAAAGCCTCACCCATGAAAGTTGAAGGGAATTTAACTTTATCAATAAAGGCCATACAAAGTAATAATTAGCTGACAAATGGACAATTTGACCATGACGCCAAAAAATATTATTTACACATATGGTATATTTTTAAAAATATTTTCTCAAAACTTACAAATTTAAAACTCGATTTGCTTCAGGCCAAGTTTCAAAAAAATTTTAACATAGAAGTATAGAACTTGGTCTAATGGATGCACAGGAATTACGCCTGCCACTATCCCCTCCCCAACACATATTTACTTCACACTTCCCCTTTCCTTTTTGTTTACCTCTCTCGCTGTGATAACATCCTTTACATAACTAGAGCTACTATGGTATTATGGGGCAAACCCAAAAAATTATTATTACACCAATAAAATATTTAACTATAGTTATAAAAAAATTAATCATAGTAGAAAGAAAAAGATCAATGCAAAGGTCTACTATGATTAAGAAGTTTGAAACCAACAACTTACAAGTTTAATGGTAGAATGATTTCTGCCACAATAGTTTAGTTCAAAATCAAGTAATTCAACTCAATGTAAATCCAAAGTAATCAAACTTAAATTCAAGAATAAAAGTAATAAACATGGAATCCCAAGTTTTTAACACTTAAAACACTATAAATCCAAATAAAAATGCTATATATACAAAAGCATGATATATCAATTTGCACTTAAAGCAATTGAAAATAAGGTTCAAAAAATAAAAATGACACAATCAGAGGGATGCATCGCACTTACAGAACTTGCATCACGGCCAGTTCCCTTTTGTGCCTTGCACTGTGACACATTACACAGATCATGACAATGTTTTGCTATCATTTCACAGCTTTGAGGTAAAACTTTTGGCGTGCCCCAATTCTTCATGTGTCATTCAATCGATGCAATCTAACTATTCATAGAAAGTTTTTTTAATGAACAAGCTAGTGGCACTGATTTCACTCCCAAATTATTTTATACTAAAAAGTTGGATGCCCAAATGCAATTAAAACATATTTTCACACTTAACAACTAGGGTGTTCCAAACTCCACCAATGTGCCAAAAGCTCAACTTGACACCTAGACTACACTTAACAAATTCATGACTTGTGCTACACACCACAACATTCATATCACATATATATCTCATTTTCAACCCTCAACCTCTTAATATTAAAAAGAATAGGAGAGGCATTTCATATAAATCCTAAATATAATCATTTACAATTATCATGCAATCATTATCATACTTACACCAATATTTAAGCTCTGCCCAAATATCACAATCACATAACCTACAACCTAAAATACAACTTTCCAACTACAAATGTAAATTGTGTAAGTATTCATATTAATCAAAATATGAACTTCTAGTTAGCATTATCAACTTAAATTACACATATTCAAAATAAATTACTAGAGGCCTAGTTCCAATGCCTCAAGTGCTTTCCTTTTATCTTGTTTGGAGCTAGTTCCTTATAAAATGTTAAGGCAAAGGGTGAGTACAACGACTTAATAACTAGGATAATCTAATAAATACACATGGAAGGCAATTAATTATAGAAAATGCAAAATGGGCAAACATATGTATACTATCATATAAACCTATTCAAAGCATAGAGTCAAACCCAATGGCATATCCACAAGTAGATAATATACAAGATCACCTACTCACAAACTTAACAACCATGTGACTAATCCATGAAATGCATAATCAATAACCTCCCTTATTACCTCCTGATACTTCTGACTGAAATCATGAACTATTAATCAAATAGGGTTACGTCCGTGTAAATGGACTAACCCAACCTTACTAATCACGAGGAATTACTTGGCCAAAGGTTACTACACTCACTCTTAGGCCATGGCTTTTCCCATTCCCAAATCCCTATAGTGTCATTAATCCTAAGCTAGTCTCCTTAGGAAACAAGTAGAGAAAAGTTAAATTCGAGTCCTTCAGCAAATAAAGTGAGATAGTCCCTCAACAAATACTGGGATAAAGGATAGCCTTCAGTTACCGAAAAGTGACCATAGTACGTGGATTCACACTAGTCCCTATAATGAACTCTCACCAAACATGATCATGCAACACACAAGCCTAATACATCCAACATGCAAATAAACATCATCTCAAATTCAAGGTATTTAACATACCATGTATCACAATCACATCATCATAATCTCATCACAAAATTGGGTTCACACCCTTCACAACTCAACATAAATCACCACTCACATACCACATGCCATCATCTCATCATATTTGGTAAATTAATTACAAGCTTTTTCATCTAGCAATCACATTGACAATTCATTGCATTAACATCACAAATTCATATTACATCTCATTTTTATTCAAAAGCATCCTAACCACCCTTTTCAATATTTCCAAAATATAACTTGTTATAATAATCATGAAAAGTAGCTTTCACATACTCAAAACAAGTTTTCTAATACTCTACAATCAAGCAACATGCAAATGCACAAATTAAATTCTTCTAGTTATCTCGAACCTTTGATAGATCAAAGGTTACCCTCAATTCCAAAGCTACTTCCAAGCTCGAATGGTGCACAAGACAATTAATCTACAATTAATCATATTAATCATCATTAATATCATCATAAACATACTTCTACTTCCAATTTCAACAATTTAACTATCCAAAACTCATAATCTCTTGTATTTAATCACACTCATTAGGTGTATTAACTTCCATTAGCTCTATCTAACTTCATTACACCCAACAACCATTGTTAATGGCTTCCATAACTTCTCCATTAGCTCTATCTAACTTCATTACACCCAACAACCATTGTTAATGGCTTCCATAACTTCCAACTACCACATTTATTACCTATTTTTGATCATTAATAAGGACCCATTTACAAGAGAGCATTAAATTACCAAACCTAAGAGTAAATGACTCAAATAACTCCCATTATGATAACAGTAATACCAATCGATGAAAACTTCCCAAGGATGCTCCTCTGCCACACGCATGCACATTCCTCACAACGTGGTGCAAATCAATGCCTATAAATCATCTCTAGATTAAACTTAAAAACTTATATTAAATACCCCTCCATCCCAAATTATAAAACAATTTAAGACAAAATTACGCATATCAATAAAGCTCAATAATTACACTTTACACCAACTAAAGTTGGCATGAGTAGTACAGGCTCTCGTCATTTAAACAAGTAATTCAAGGTTCAATTCCCAACCCTTAGGTATGTAGCAACTTAGGAGAGATCTACCCTTTGTTCTCAGTACCTCAAGGGAGATAATCTTTACTGTCAGCGGAGCCTACTCCTTATACTATAAATGTTTTACAAACTTACTTTCTAAAAAAAAAACTATAAATTTTCAAAATGCCCCTACAAACTTAATCATTACACTACAATCATTTCAATTACCTCTCTACTTGAAGAGTAATGTTGAAAAAATATCATCAATAAAACTTTATTTTTGTCAGATTGTCTTACATTTCGGAACAACAAAACAAAATACCTCCAAAGTTGTCTTATAATTTGGGATGGAGATAATATTTATTTAAAACTAAAATATCATTTTTCTCTCTTCATGTATAAGGAGAGACAGACACGGATCTGCAAAGGATCTACATCTACTGGGCACAAAAACCAAAGTCAACTTCTCAAGGCAGGAAAGAAAATGCAGTAAGGAAATCTTTCACTCTTTGACTCTTCGCTATACATCAAATAAGACAAAACAAGGGGGAGAGCAAATAAGCAAAGAAAATCACAACTATCTTGTTAACTTGTTATCTTGTTATCTGCAGTTCGAAATGGTGTGGAATCTTTGCTAATTGAGAAATCTTTGAATAGTTTGCGAAATTTTACCCATTTGCTTTAAAGCTTCTGACATAAAGGTTGATTGCAATTCAATCAGCCCATTACTTCTTCAGAAAATACATTCCATCTCTAAGTTCTAACTTCTCTTCAGAGACTAGACCAGATAAAAAGCTTTGTAGTTGCTGGAGTGACTTGTCATAAGGTGGATCAGCAATGCAGAACATCTGTGCAAGAGTAAGATATGGAATGAATCTAACTGATCATAACGTTGCCGTCACAATTTACAGTTCTTACCTTAAGAGTATTGTGAATTCGATCTAATGCCATGCTACCAAAGTTCGTGAGCATGCCCATGATAAATTTCTGCAACAAGACGATGCTAATAATTAAATGGCATTACTCACGTGCATTGCATGCCAATAATTCACTTGCTTTTAAGCCTGAAGAGACCCTTGCATAGCACTCCAGTTCAAACCATCACTTTCGTTTAAAATCTATTATATTGGCAAAATTAGTAATCCTTTTAAACTCCAAAGGAATGATTTTTACTCCCTCCTTTCAAAATATTTGTCCTTTAAAGTTATTACACACAGATTAAGAAATGCAACTAACATGTAAAAGTATGATACACTTTACCAAATTTGCCCCTCATTTATGTGGAGTATATCCTATTAATGTGCTCACAGTACTTTATGCCTTTAAGGGTAAAATAGGAAAAGTATCATCAAATGGTGCTTTGGCAGTCTAAAAAGACAAATAATATGAAAAAAAAAATTCTCCTAGAAAGACATTTTGAAACGGATGGAGTATTTACTAAAGGAGCTTCTATTTTCCTAACTTCAATTTTCATAGAATAGTTCTCCCTACTGTGGTGAATGATAGAAGCATTTTGTTGCCTGAGGCCCAAAACATTTCCAAGGCCTATAATACCAGAAGATATTAGATAATGAGCAAAATAAAAATTGTCAATTTGTGAAAATTTTATTTTGTTAATTAATTAGACATATGAAAGAAATTCACAATGTAACTTCAGAATCCAAATGAATGTTTCAAAATCTGACTAGGAGATATTACCATTCACACAGTATGGAATAGTTATTTCACATACCTCATACACTGTCATTTCCTTACGAAGTTGATTCTCCACTGAGGCCACAGATCTCCCTTCCTCTTCATCAACTCCTAGAAGCTCTTGGGAACTACCACTACTGCCTCCATTCTTACTCGTGTCAGCCATTTTTTCCACAAGGGTGTATACATGGTCCAAGGAGTCAGCCCCCGGAGACTCTGTGATGACACCCTGGAAACAAGAAAGACGGCAAGTAAAAATTATTCCATCCTCACATCTAAACTCAGTCTTCTACAGTTTCTAATTAGAAAGTTCTCAGTTACAGCATCCATCAGCATCTTAGAAACTGGATATTAGTTACACAGAATAAAATTGATCAGCATTTTATCAACAGGATATCAATTACTTGCTAAATAATATGAACACTAATTCATGACAAGTTACCACAGGTTAACCAGTTAAGTTTGTAAATTTGTAAGAAGGAAGCTAGGAAGAGTTAGCCGACCCCACCTAGTGGGATAAAGGCTTGTTGTTGTTGTTGTTGTTGTTGTTGTTGAAGCTAGGAAGAGTAACATTAAGGGGGGCAAATGTATACAGCCACTTGAGGCTAGGCCTAGCTGATTTGGTAAGGGTGTGATGGGCAGTGGGAAACAGTCTAGAATTCAAACTCTGTTGATGTAACCAAAAATAAAAATATTTACTAGAGCCTAAAGTAAGCTAGGAAGAGTCGCATCAATTGTCTATCAGACCAACCTTGCTTATCCAGAAATTTATCCTCCGATTTAATACATCCACTGGGACTCCAATAGCAGATGAAAGGTTCTTGGACGTCCAACTGAAAATGAAGGATAAAAAAAATTACTTCACATAGAAAGACAAAATAATAGGTGTCAGCTTATCAATGAATACCTCGTTTGATCTTGAAATTTCATGACAATAGATGCATGAACAGGAGCTACAGTGAATTGCATTGCCCTATCTTCGAACTGCAATTCCAGCTGAAAAATTGAAAATAATGATGTTAACAGATCTGTCAAGACTATCATATAAAGGCAGAAGGCAGGGAGGGGGCAATATCACTCAGTAAATTCATACCTTGTAAATTATAACCACAAACAAAAAATTCTCATGAAAGATATCAAGCGACCTACCTTGACAGTACCAAGACTTTTCTTCCACTGTAGCTTACGGGGGGTTTTGATTTCATGAAATCTATTTGCATAGTCAGAAAGGAGCAGGTCAACAGGTCCGGGCAGGTTAACAGGTTCATCCTGTAAGACTTTTCAAGGTTAATCACACAACACACAAAGTATCTCAGGGAAACATTTGAAACTGTTAGATATCTAGAATAATGCATATCATTATATTGGAAGAACTTTATCATAGGTCATATAACATATCCTTAAGTTTTACATATCAGATCAAACTGACTCTTTGCATTTGAATAAAAGCGTTCAATGCAGAAGAGATTAATAAAATACAACATAGAATGATAAGCGTACTCAACAATCAAAAGAATCTATTTTTAAAAATTTATTTTGTTTGTAAAAAGAGTCAGATGGCTAAACCTTGATATATATATATATATAAGTAGCACAAGCTGACATGTTTAGTTGTAATACACGAATCAAACACTTTTGCTTCTTATTGCCTAAAATTATGCTAAACAGATATGAGCCTTGTGCATTGCACATGAAATTAAGAAATGAGCTGCATTATTTATGGCTTAAAAATATTAAGACTGAAAACCTCTAGAAATTAGAAGATAAGTGGCTGATAACCACAACTCTGCATGAAATTTAATGACCAAAATATTTTTGCCCCGCAAACCTGTATTGGAGGCCAGAAGTTTGAAGATATAATAGTGGCTGAAACAACATCCATGGGTATTGGATTGTCTCCCATCTCAGAACCTGAGAGAACTTGCCAGATTTAGCCAAAAGAAATGAGACAAATAGAAGTCACACTTTTGTGTGTAGCAATGATAAAAAAACAATGAACAGTTCGAATTTCAGAAAGTACTTGTCTGAGATGGCTGACTAATGGTAGCTTTGATGTTGGTATTGGTTCTCTTTGAGTCTATCAAATCATTGAGCATTATCTCACATTTCTGTAGGCTGCTCTCTCCAAATTGAATCTGCAGAAAGAAAGCAATATTCATTGTCTTGATAAACACACTAGAAATGAAAAATGGATGTAAAAAAGGAAATAACACAGTATCTTCAGCGTCAGTCAAAAAATACAGGCATCATCAAATTAGCCACATACCTTAAGGAGCTCCAGAGTACGTATCTCGGAGTCAATATCATAATCAGATTTGTTTAAAAGCTTTTCTGCAAGCATAGTTCGATATTCATTAACTAGTTGGTCTTTAGAACCAATTATGCCTACAATCATCCCAAGTATGTCAACTTTCCTCTGGTTCCTGCTACCCTTTAATGGATCTGCTTCCACAGGGTCAGGCTGCCAGCTAAAAGGGAAAACTTATTAGGGAAAAAAACTTGATTTTTGTAATATGGTAAGCAGAAAAGATACACTAAGATATTGAGAAAGGTAAGGAAAATTGAAAAAACAGCCAACTACCATTGAGGATAGCAAACATATACCGTGTGGCATTGATCCAAGCTTGCCTGTCATCAGTGTTGAAGTCATCATCAGTGCCAACATTCTCTTGCATTTCTTCATCTCTGTTCAACTCTTCAAGAAGACTATCTCCCGGATTTCCAGATGCACTTGAATTTCCACTAGTCCCATCAGTAAGCATAGTCACTATATATTTTATGGTATCTTTCCTTCCTCTTAAATAGTCCCTTATTGGCTCACCAACTGCCTCAAGAAAAACACCCGCAGGATCTATTATCCTTAGGGCCTTAATAGTCGAAACATATTGATGCAAAATATCATTGGTTGAAGCGCCTGCAGTAAGCAAGCGAAAACGTAGTGCTGAAATAAATGAATCCACCAACTTTGCATGTTGCCCAGTGTATTCAAGACACAATTTTAAGTCTTCAATTGCAGGGGAGCTACATAGATCCAAAGAGAAAAAGGAAGATAAGTACTTGTAAATTTAAACATATGCCAGTGAGCTCTGGTTTGATAAGGATTAATAATAAAATGTGTATGAAAAGGTTATAGTGGTTACTGGTGGTATCTAAACTTGTACCAAAACATTTTTTTTTTTCAATGTTGATTAGAATATTGAAATAAATTAAGCAAGGGATAGAATATCAATCAAAAGCACATCATTGTTCAATCAGTCATGCATCCACAATAAAGCATTTTAGAATTTGTACCAAAGCCTAACATAAGTTGATTAAGAGTGCTGACCTCATAGTTTAATACTTTAATTTACTAAAAGTAGGCCACAAACAGAACACAAGACACACAAAATTCAGAGTTCCATAATAGAACATTGTGATTTTGTTTTTAGTAGGTAAACAGAGAAATGAAATCAATGAACTACCTCTCGGGATAATCAACAATTATTTCAAACAGTTTTGCTATTCTTAAATCTTGTAGTGTTTCATAAGCAAAATATTCCAGCCTTAACTTCCATCTAACAAGCCCTTCAGATGGAGCATCAATCCCAGGACAGAATGAAGCTGGCTGTGGTGCTAAAGGTGATTTAACACCTGAAGAAGTACTCTCGTAACTAATAGAATCACCAAGATAGACAAGAAGGGCATGCAGAAACTGCAGAGGAACAGTCTGCACAATATGACACCAGTTATAAGAAGAATAAGTTAGTGTTTTAAAGGAGCTTATTTATCAGCACAAACCAGCATAGTAAGATAATAAATTTTACATACATTGATATGAAGATGTTGCACAGTAACAGCCCCAATCCAACATATATAAATTTATCAACCAACCATAAATCAGTTCTCTCCATCAACACCATTAAGAATTCAATTTAGCTCCCTTTTTCAACATATATAAGAACTATTAGACTAGTCGTGGTGGTGGTGGTAATGATAATAATAATTCTGAACTGAAAGTAAACATTTAACAAAATGTAAACAAACTCATTCTTATAAAATCAGATCCTAAACTATCATCTTGCAAAAGAAACACATATAATCCTTACAAAATGTATTCTCTACTAATTACCCCAAATAATCAATCTTTTACCTTTCAAAGTAATAATTTGCCAAAAGTCATCTTCATAATTTATTTATTGACATCCATGTTGGAGATGCAGATGAATTTATTCTATATCATAAGGAAAACAATGATACAGTAAAATGAGGCATGATTGAACAAGTGAAACAAACTGATAGGATGTGGCCTACATTTGTTTAGATTGGAAATGCTAAGCGGAATTGACGGCCATGCTAAAATGGACAAAGGGAGGACGAAATGGGAACATGACTGGATTTGACTGGAGAACAGACAACCAGGCATGTGATTGAATTTTAAAGAATCAATATAAGGGATTAAATTTCCGTCTAGTTCAAATGAAAGAATAATGTGGCACATGCCAGACGTTATGGATTATATATAGCAAAAGAAGAACATGTTAAATGTATATGAACAAACGTATATGCAATACAAACCTGGATCCAACTTTTAATTGATTGCAAAACAGAACTCCTAAAATCATCACCAGCAAAATCATGTACTTTTGCCTGTTATTCAGACCAGAAAGAGAAATTAATATCACCAAAACATTAGATGCATAACAAGGGACATACCCACATATAAAGAGAAGGCAAATGTGCTCACTTTTAGTAGTAAGAAGATAGCTGAAGCATAAGCATCTTCAGCCATAGAAGTAAATCCAAGACTTCTAAGATCAAGAACAACCTTCCCAGTGTTCTTCACCAATCTACTGTTTTCCAAGAACCTACTGTGCTTGTAACAATCATCAACATCCATTGCACCAACCTTAGTACAGACTTTGCCTTTTTCATCTAAATCCATGTCATCCTTACTCTGAGATGCATCATCATTACACTCTTCATCCATGATTGTACTTAACTCCTCTAGTCTTCTTTTAAAATACCAGTGAAGTATCACTGGTAATAACAGGGAAAAAAACAAATCAAGCATACAAGGATAGATAAAAGAAATGAAAGAAAATGACAAGCTTATCAAGCACAAATTACCAAATAAAAGAATAAATTGAAGTTGGGCAGATAGGAAGATGTTATAAACATTAAACAATAATATTTCTAAGAAGGTCCAAGATCTTGGGACAAAATTGTCACATTGCTTTATGGATTGAACTATATTGCCAGTTTGATGGATCTAATGATAGCAAAATCTCATGCAGCTATTTAGATAAATTGCAGAAACGAAGAGATTGGTGAAGAGGTAGCACCAATAAATCAAATACAGAACACTGTGTGCTGGCTGTCTATATCAATAGATACCCATAAGTTTTGAAATGACGACTTTAAAGCATGACATGATGACAATATTGGAGGAGTGGTAAAATGATGAATTACGATAACATTGACTTTTAGGCAGTTGTATCCATTAGTATCTAAGTAAGCAAATATCCATTTCATAAGTTTAACCCCCATTATTACCTAACTAAGCATATACCGATACTCATAATTTTTAACTTCACAATCTAAATGTTTAGCTATGATGTCAAATATTCTTCTTATTTTTTGAACTCGCTGCTGAGATTCACAAGGCAAGAGGACAATTTATCTAATGAGTAAGCTCACACAAATAAAAATATTCTTTGCTTCTAGAGTGATCAATCTACAGAAATAGAATGGAAAATTTGAGTTTTCATCCTTTCAAGTCTAAACATGCTAATAAAGAAAGACCATATAGTTAATACTTATTCAATGCGGGTGATTCACAGATAACGTCACAATAATGAAAATCATTTTAACAATTGAAACATCTTATTACCAGGAAAATGACGAGGAAGTGAAGCCATAAGAACAGAGGAGACAATAAATTGATATTTTGAGACAAAATAATCTCTTTCTGCTTCAAAATCATGTAGTTCCCCTGATATCCTATCCTTATAAGCTTGTAAAGCATGCACCAACATTAATAAGCACTTCTCCTGATACTGCTTCTCCAAAGAGATTTCTTCCAAAGCGTTACACAAATCTTGCTGAATCTCGTCCTCATTAATCTGTTTGGAGTGTTTATAGCATCAACTCTTTAAGCAGATTAATGACTAAAAGTTCCGATTCATCAATCAAGTTCAAAACATCCAGAAAGGTTCATATATACTCACATCAAGTTCATTATTCTTCTTCAAATCCACAAAATTACTGTAACCATCAAAATGTCTCCAAAATTTCGATGCTCCATTTCTCTCAAATGTTTCCTGCCACACAAATGAATTTAAATTTTCGACCTTTATATGACAACTAGCCAATGGCAGCATATAGCTCGTTACTTAAAGCCAAGGCTTTTGTACCTCAAGCACTTGAAGAAAGTGATCCCGAACCAGCGATTCTAATCCACGTTTGATGAGGCCATGAACGAGAGCAACAAACTCGGAGCCAACAGAGAGGTCACCGGCACCAGTGAGAAGAGTTTGCACGACGACACAGAACCCGTTGTAGCAATCTACGATCTCTTGTAAGGAATCAGCCGTTACAGCATCCAAAACCCCTAGATTCCAGAAATGAGAGGTCGATTCCTCGGTGGCCATCGAGAAGAGAGAAACGATGTCTCAATCTTTTGAAATTTGCGTCCAACGCAGGCAGGAAGGAGAAGGAGAAGGAGAAGGGAAAGGGCGTACTAGAGTGACTGAAGAATGAGTAGAAAGCAGCTAGAGCAAGCGCGAATGGATTTTCCCTCTTTTTTTCTTTTTTTATTTTCAAGCCAAGAAAGATCTCTCAGGTTCCAGCTAAACAAGGGCGTACGTTTTCGAACGAAAAGTTCAAAAATTGATCATGCGTGTCCTCGTAAAATTAGTTAAATTTTGGAATTGAGAACACACATAATTTTCATTAGGTTCTTAGAGAATTTAAAATTTAAAGTTAATCCTTCAAAATTAAACTAAAAATAAATTAAATATAGAAAAGATGAAAATACTCTTAGTTCAAATATTTTAAAAACCACTAATCACCATCACCAGAGCACTACCGTCGGTGATCAAAGCCTCATTGGCTACAATAGCAACTAGACCTCCATTGCCAGAGTTCCGATGGTAGGTGGAGAGTTAAATTCTTCAAAGGTGGGCAAGAGTGGATGTAAAACCCATGATCCCTTGGCTCACCCAAAAGTTACAAACTATCAAGTCATTAAACCTATTCCATCATATAATACATAAAATTATATATATATATATATATATATATATATAAACCTTATTTTTAAATCACTTAATTATTATGTTGCTTGTTAATCACGTGACCTTACTTGTTAATATTTTAACAAAACTTGTTAATTACTTAACTTTTTTTGTTAATCCCATAACTCCCACAATAAAACTATATTACTTGTTAATCACACTACTATACTTATTAATACTTTAACAGGACCTATTAATTACTTAACATTTTTTGTTAACTGTATAATTTCTGTAACAGAACTACATTACTTGTTAATTGCATAACTACACTTATTAATATCTTAAGAGGACTTACCAATTACTTAACTTTCCTGTTTAAGTCTGTGACTCTCACAATAGAACTACATTACTTATTAATCACGTAACTTTACTTGTTAATATCTTAACAAAACTTGTTAATTACTTAAATTTACTAATCAAATCTATGACTTCTTCAACTAAACTACATTACTTGTTAATCATGTAACTTTACTTGTTATTTACACAACAATACTTGTTAAATGCACTGCTTGACTTGTTAATATCATAACAAGATTTGTTTAATTGTTGTGTCAAAAAAGCAACTAAATTGAATGTAGAAAAGATGAAAATACCCTCAGTTCAAATATTAAAAAGCAACAAGTATTATTATGTAATTAACAAGTAAAGTTACATTATTAACAAGTAATGCAGTTCATTTGAAGGAATCATGGATTTGACAAGTAAATTCAAGTAATTAATAAGTCTTATTAAGGTATTAATAAGTAAAGTTATGCGATTAACAAGTAATGTAATAATCAAGTAATTTTAAAATAAGGTTTATTATATATATAATTTTTTGCATTATAAAATTGAATGGGTTTAATGGCTTGATGGTCCATATCTTTTTGGTGAGCCAAGAGGTCATGGGTTCTACACTCACCTTTAGTCATCGGCGGTGGTGCTCCAGCAATGGTGGTTGATGGTTTTTTAATATTTGAACTGAGAGTATTTTCATCTTTTCCACATTCAATTTTATTTTCAATTTAATCCTGGAGGACTAAACTGAAGTTACAGATTCTTTAAGGACCCACCAAAAATTATGTGTCTTCTTAGGTCTTTAATTGAAATTCTCCCTTAAATTTTCCTAAATACTTTATATATAAATATTTTTATTTATCTTATCAAAATTAAGGAAAGATAGTTAAATTAAATTATTAATTAAAATGATCTCAAAATTAAAAAAAATTCTAAATACATTAGCAAGAGTTAAGTACTTGGTATATGTTTAAGGGTAAGAGAAAAATTAGTATTGAAAATTATGCTCTAAAGCCAATCATTGTACTCCCTCTGTCCCAAATTATAGGACACTTTTAAAAAAATTTATCCATCCCAAAATATAAGATATTTTGAGTAGATTAAGGTTTCATTAAATGCACCGATTTCAATATTACCCTTTCTCTCTCTATGATTAATTTCTATTACTTCTCTTTCCAATATCTTAAATGATGGGTATTTTGGGAAGTTTATATTTTTGTTTTGGAAAGATAAGGTTGTTAAGTGTATTTAATAAGATTTATTGGTATGTGAGATTTTGTTTAAAAGTGTCTTATAATTTGAGATAAAGGGAGTACTATGAACATTGTTTTTTAATGAATTTCTGTTTTGTTATTATATTAATTGCATATTCACTATGATAACTGTATCATTGGTTACTATAGTGATTTTTCTAAATGTCTTTAGTCGGTCATTTATGAAAGATCATAGATGAAACAAGACTAGTATGACTTTGATTAATTATAGAGATATAAATCAAAGTCGTAGGCACTTGAAAGGGTTCAAGGTGCTAGACGAACCTGTTATGAGAAAGCTACATGATACAAGTCATAAGCTTATCTTATATGTAATCATGTCACTAAGCCTTTTGACCTAAGATCATCATGGATTCCTATATAATGACATCTGAACTTTGACTTAGTCAAAAGTTACCTTTAACCAGGTGATCATAAAGGTTATGATTGAGTTTAGTGATATTCATGTAGAGGAACATGAGTAGTCAAGATGAAATTTATCCCTCACATTAATTGAGAGATATTACTAGGCCCCTCGATGAGCAAGACTGAAAAAATGTATAGACATATTACAATGAAAAGTGTAACACTTGCCCCAAGTGTATCCAAAAATCACACAATTCAAATAAACTAAGTGTGGTTAAGGAATTAATCCTAAAACCAACTTAGGAAACAAACCATTTAAATCACTAAGCAAATACACAATTGCAAAGTAAACATTTAAAGCCTTTAAAAAAAATTTATAGGTTCTACCTATAGCACGCGAAAGCAAGCTAGACGAAAGTGAAATAAAAAGATACTGTCATGACAGCATTAAATTGCTGTCATGACAGCCCTCCTGGGCCAACTTTCGAGAGGTACCGTTTCGTCATTCGACTCTGATCGAAGTAATTTTAAAGCTCACACGTCACATTCAAAGGGTACTATAAGCATACCAAATTTCAAAAAAATCCAACGGTTGGATTGAAAATTAGACATGTTAAAAAATTGGTTATTTTTGCTGTCATGACAGCTAAAAAGCTGTCATGACAACACTTCCGGACCAACTTTTAAAGTGCACCATTTCATCATCTAAACTCCGATCGGAGTGATTCTAAAGCTCACATGTCACTTTTAAAGAATACTATTAGCATACTAAATTTTGAAAAGATCCAACGAATGGATTGAATTTTATGCAGGTTACAACATCAATACTGTAGCTGTCATGACAGCAATTTAATACTGTCATGACAGCACCTCCAGACCAAATTCCGAAGTGCATCGTTTCTCCGTCCGATATCCGATCGATGTGATTTCAAATCTCACACGAAGCTTATAAAAGGTTTTACTTGTGACCCAAATTTTAGAGAAATCCAACGATCGGATTAATATTTGGACACCTGGATGCAAAAGTGCAGCTTTTTGGTAAAAACCATTTTCAAAATTGTCCAAATCTCATCCTAATGGTCACAAACCTGTGGAAACACTTTGGATATATCAAATAAGACTAAAAACACCTGATAGAACATTCAAATGATGGAAAACCCCCATACATCAAAATTTAACCACCCGGGTGCCATTTCCCAAAATGGACCCTAAACCCCCAAAATGCACAAATCATACAAGAGTGGTCACAAATCAATCTAAATACCATGTATTTATATAAATACATATGATAAACATTTTCACTTTGCTCAGAGCTCCTTGTGGGGCCTATACACCCACTCTCTCTATCCAAGGTGTATGTTTGCCCATAGCACATCATTTGCAACGCAACCACTTTGCATTTGCTTATAAAATCACATATATATCAAAATAAATATCTGCTTGTAATAGAAACTTGGTCTACTAAGTAAATCCATCAAAACCACACACCATAACCAAGTTTCCTAGCCACAAGTCTGCAAACAGACAAAAATTCATACACAAGCACACAATCCACACATGTTCACACACACATACATAATCATATCCTACTGGCACCCCAATCCTAAATACATTACAATATATTTGCTCAAAAGAAAGGGGTTGCAGTTCTTTACAAATCACAAGCAAACCCCTAGCTTTGCTCCTTTCCCCGTCCACCACCGGATCTTTCGCTTGGACCTAGAATATTGAAAAGAAAGGGGTGAGACAACCACAGTCTCAATAACAGTGAAATCTATATTGATTATTACAAAGTAAGCCATAATCAAATAAACGAATAATAAATTCAACATAGTATATAATTTAGCCATTTAAAATGCATGAATGCATGACCTAAGCCGGTATGGCCTTTCATGACCAACAGAATGCCCCCTGGCACTCTTTAACTCGTAGGTAAACCTTATACCTACTTGTACCTCCACAGGCACAAAACATAATCTAAGGCATGATCTAATCTACCGAACCTCCTATGCCCCTTCGACGTAAATCTTAAGCAGTTGAAGCTAACTCCCTCCCAGAGCCAGCCCAACTTACTTTCCATGTGAGGGCTACCTTAGCCTAGGCATTCAACCTCACACTTCATATGTTGGATTCCCTCCCCCACTGAGAGGTGTCGAACACTCAATACACTAACCACTTTAGTGCACTGAGCCCACAATACGTAAGACAATACTGAGTACTAACAGTGTGCCATAGAATATCAAAAATCCACACCTTCTCATTGGTGAACTCCCACCGAGATCATGCCTTTTACTCTTGTCTATCTTTCCTGAGTATTGACCATTCAACACTCTAAAGTAGTATAATATTTATAAATCTCATTTCCATAAAAACATTGTTATTAAACAATTAGAAAACATATTTGCACTATAATCAAAGTAGTACCCCATAACCCCTTATAAAGCACATTTAATCTTTTAAAACATGTAATGCATGATAACTAGTAATATTTATTCAAAAATAGCTAAAACAAAGTAATAAGAAATATAAATTCCCCTGTTACCTCAACCCTTTGGTACCAAAAGGGTTCCCCTTGTACAAAATAGGGCTCGGCTTGTTCCTTACTTCTCAATAAGTTCTACC